TCCCCGGGGAGTAGGTCTGGACCCGGGAACGGGGCACCCGTGGGTGGGCAGGGTCCCCGGGTGCGGGGGACCCCCGGGTGCAGGCTGTGGGGACACCCCAGGGGGAATGCACCCCCCGGGGGTGGGTCCCGGGACCCCCGTAGTTGCAGGATTTGTCCCCCCTGGGATTGGGGGGGGGGGGGAGGTTGGGGGGCTCCCCTGCTCCCCTGGGGTGCAGCGGACACCCCCACCTTAAGGAGCACCCACACCCGGGGGACACCCTGGGGCAGGATGCAACCCCCTCACCGGCACGACACCCCCTTCCCCAGCCCCACTGGGGTGGGGGGCTCCCCCGAGCAACCCGGTTCCCGCGCCGCCCCTGTCCCGTGGCTTCCCCCAGGCCTCGCTCACCCGCAACCACATTTTGGGGTGCCCCGCGGCCCCCCACCCTGTCGGGCCCTGGAGCATCCCCAACTGTGACCCTTGTGCCCCATGGGGAGGCTCAGCTCCTCGCCCTACCCCCCCCCCGGGGTGGGATATGGGGGGGCTGGACCCCCTGTGTCCATAGGACCCTGTGGCGATGACTCGTGGGGGTCCCCTTGCACCCCAAAGATGTGACTCTGGGGGACCAGGGGCATCAGAGGCCCAGAGCTCAGCCGCCACCGGCACTGGGGAGGTTTCTCTGCTTGGCCCCATCATGCGGGGTGGGGACCCCCCCCCGGGGCTCGCCAAATGACCGGGGAGGGACCCTGCGAGCCCTCAGGTGCCGGACCCGTCCCTCGGCACATTGGCAGGACGGGCTGCGCCGGTGGGTACCCGCCTGGGGCTCGGTGCACCCCGTCCCGGTAGTCCCGCGGTGTTGGGACCATCCTCCTGCCCTGGCCCCGGGGACAGGAGAACACCAGCAGCGGCCCCTGGCTGAGCCCAGACCGTGTCTGTCCGTCCGTCCGTCCTTCGGCAGTATCTTGGCACCGGTGTCAGGCGCTTGCCCAAACTCATGGTGGCGTGCACCAGAGGGACCCCCGGATCCCCCTGCAGCGGGGCCGGACTGGGAGGTGTTGGGATGTGCCGTGGTGGGGAGGGGGGGGTCAGAGCCAGCACCCACCACCCCGGCACAGCCCTCTTCCCCCAGGCTCTGGGCGAGGGTCTGGCCAGGACGTGAGGCTCAGCCCAGCCGGAACACCCCCCCTCCCCAGTTTTGGGAATGATGGTCCCATGGCCGGATCCTGGCTGAACAGGCACACTGGGGGGTCTGTACCTCTGTACCCAGTGGGGCGTCCTGGGGGGGCCGGGGAGCAGCCTCGCTTTGACCGGCCCGGTGCTGGGGCCGTCGGCTGCCCACCTGCCTCCCATTAACGGTTGTTTTTCCTCCCGAGTTCCAGATCTGCCTGGGATTTGCTGTAATTTGGCCGGGAGCGCGCCTTGGCCGGGCCGGCACAGCCTGCCGGATGCAGCCCCGCTGCCGGGCGGGAGGAAGGGCTGAGCGTGGGGGGCTGCCAGCTGGGTCTCCTCTCTGGGGCTTGGGGGTGCAGGGGAGCGCTGAGGGGGTCTTTGCCAGCATCGTCGTGCTGGTCCCCGGCCTAAAGCATCACCGCGGTGTCCCCACGCTGCTGCTGTCCCAGCTCCCGCCGCCATCCTCCAGTGCAACGTGCGTCCCCGGGGAGGGATTCGGGGTGACCCTGCGTGGGGCTGCCACGAGAACCGGGACCCACAAGCATACACTAACTCACCCCCCCCCCAGCCAGGCTGGGACCCCCCGGATGGGCCGGGGACGTCGGCACGCTCCCGAAGGTGACCCTTCGGAGGAGAGCGGGAGTCGGGGGGTGACGGTGGCTGCTGCGCCGGCGGGTGTGAAAAGCCGCCCCGCTGCGCCTCTCGGTCGCCCCAGACAAAGGGAGCGGGTCAGGATCCGGCCAGTCTGGCTCCGGCGGCCTCCGTATCGTCTGATCGCGCCGTCGCCGCTCAGCCGAGCTACCCCGAGGGCCGGTTTCCCCCACCCCGGGAGCCCCGCGGTCCTCTTGCCGTGGGCCGGGGTGGTGGGTGTCCCCCATCTCCCCCCCGCTGCCAAGCAGGCAACCCCTCCCCAGCCGGCGAGTCCGGGCACGCCGTCGCCCGGCCGCGACTTCCTTGGGAAGGTGCCCGCGGGCGGCACGCGGCTCCGGCAGGGACGTCCCTGGGGGGTCCCGCTTGCCTCGTTCCGCCACCCGGCACCGTGGACCCCTGGGGACGTCGCGGTGGGGGTCCCGCCTGCCTGTGGGGGTGAGCTGGACCCCCCGTACCCTTCCTGGGGCATCCGCACCTTGGGCAGGCAGATTTAGAGCAGGGGGGGTCCCTTCCCCAAAGTGGTGGGATGGCTTGTGCAAGCTCAGACCTACGCTGGACCTCGGTGTGGCGGTTGGATTTTGGGGTGTCAGGTGGAAATTGGGGAAGGAGTGATGTCCTCCCTCCCCAGGGACCCCCTTGGTGGCAGTGGGAGGGGGGGCAAGGCAGCATCCTCACAGTCCTCCATCGCTGGGGTGAAGCTCAGGCTGGTGCGGGACTGGAGCCATGGGGTCGAGAGAGGGTTGGGGGGGGGGCGGTTTGGGAGGGCTCAGGGATTGGGGGTCCTGGCTCTGACCTGCCTTTCCCCACGGCAGACGGTGGAGCACGGCTTCCCCAGCCAGCCCAGCGCCCTGGCCTATGACCCTGCCCTGCGCGTGATGGCCATCGGCACCAAGGCAGGAGCCGTGAAGCTGTATCCTTTTCCCCGCTGAGGGCAGGAGGTAAGGACCCCCCCC